AAAATAATCGTATATCACGTTTCCAAACTGAAAATGGATGTACTGGCGGTAGTGTACCGGCGATTTCGACAGTAACAGGAAAAAGGTCGGCCTCTTTCAGGTTTTTCTCTGCTCGAAGCAGGAAAAGACCGGAAGAAGAATTACATAGATGGTATAGGTATACGTATTGTTTCCATATCTGACGTCACACCTGTGATTATACACACGACATTATACATACGATTATACACGCGATATCTCGTATTGAGTCAAATTTAAGAATATACGTATGCGAAAGAAAACGGAATGATACTGTGCGAGATTTTGGGTGCGATCCGAATTATGTATCAAGCGCATGATGCTTTATTTGTTCTTATTGTTTATCAACAAATTAATAAAGAAGGATATAATGTATGATACATCATGCGCTTTATGCGTAACTCGGAACGCATCCATTATTGCGTTAATTTCAGTTTGTTAAAAATGATACATACCGTTTCCGTACTTGGCGTCAAACCTGAATTTATACATATGCGAAAGGAAACAGAATGATACTGTACGAAATATTATTGCGTTAATCTCAGTTTGTTAGAGTCATTCGAGATGATTACAGTATAATCAATAAGAAAATAAAATGATACACAGGATGTGTTGTTAGGGTATAAACAATAATTTCATATTTTCAAACGTTTCGACTGATTTCCAGTCATTTTCGACGAATTAAATAACATACGTAAATGTAACACTAGATTTTAAATACATTTCATTATGAAAATTTCTCAACGATTATATTTAAGTAAAACGATTCTTCTCAAATCCTGTTGGAAGAGTGCGAGCGGGCACTCTTTATTAAAGGGATATTTATTAAGAGGATCCTAAAGTAAAGCTCGAAATTCGATAAAGTCAGAAGTCATGAATATAGAGCGAGTTTTTTAATTCATCAATTGCATCGTGCGCAAATGTAATTTTGTTCCGTAAAAACTGCATTTGCACATAATGCGATTAATCAATAGATGAATTAAAAATTTCGCCCATGATAACATAATATAATAACAAGACTTAAATAATAATTAATATAACAACTTAATTGATATAATTTCATATAATTTATTAATATAACTTATATATAACAACAAGACTTAAATTAATAATCGGTAACAATAATTGATTTGAAAAAAATTTAAAAGTAGTTAAACGTTGAATAAAAAAAGAAATGAGAACTTATCAAATGCAATCTAAAAGAAAATTGTAGAATTTTAATAAATAATGTTGTCAAATTTTTAAAATTGTTGTCATTATAAATTACTCGTCGGAATTCAAATAGTAATGGGATGCATCAAATATTATTCAAGTGTTATATACATTATCAAAAGCATGGTAAACAAATATAAGATTTGTAAACAACATTCAACTCATTCCTGTCAAGGTGTTCATGTGTAAAAAATAACTATTTTAATTTTTTTAAAACATTAACATATGCATGATGCAAAAATTCTGTATCTTATTTTAAATTTGAAATGTTTTCCTTTAGTGTAATATGTAACAGAAATGGGATCTTCTATTTAAAAATCTCTCACAATCTATGATCTTAATGTCCTCTTAATCAAATTTATGGCCTAATTTATGTTCGGTAGTAACAGATTTATTGGTAATTGTTCTATTAATCTTATTGTGATGTTTGGCAATTCTCATTTTTAATTTTCCTCTGTCCCACGTAAGTTACATTACATTTTTTGCAATAAATCTTGTAGACATTTTTTATGATTGGAAAGAAGAACACATATCTTTCTAAAATCTAACTATCTCTTCAAGTTTATTTAATTAAAATAAAAAAAAGACAATTTTATATTCATAATAAATATCATATATAAATCTTTAGTTATATTCTTAGATTTCTTCGAAATCTGTAGTACGTATATAAGATATAGTGAGCCCCCCCCCTTTCCTCCCGAGATGGTTTAATAGAATCTTGAGAAGTAGTATTTTTAATAAAATTGTTTATAATTTTTAATAAAATTGTTAAATAAAATTGTTGTTTCAGGTTTTTTTATTAAAAAGAGTTTTAATTCGTAAGTTAATCGTGTCAAATATGAAATTAAAAGAATATAATCATTATCCAAGAAAATTTTAATAATGAAATTGAGATTTTTCTCATAAAATTTTGAATGTGGCAATAAAAAGGCTCTGTCTATCATGCTCATTAATATCTCTCTTTTTGCGAAAATGGATGAAGAGAAAGGAAATTGAGATATATATATCTTTCCGAAAACAGCTGGTTTTAGGCGCATCGGGGCATTTTGAAACGGGGGATGCCTTGAAACCCAACACCAAAAACAATTTAATGTTAATATAATTAACTATTTAAAAACATTAAAATATTGATATATATATATATAAATTTGTGATATATCAACGTAAAGAAGATAAAAACAACTGATTCGTTTGTTTTTCTTTTATATCGTGCTTCTTTTCGTTCTAACTAGATATATCTACATATAGTTTGTATCAGTCATTCATAATGAAATAAATAAAAGAAAAAAACCAGTGAAATCGCAAGAGTTTGAACAGTGGACATACGCGCGGCGAGAGACGTGAGGATAACTTTTTATTGTAGCTTCGTAGTTCGGTAAACTTTCAATTATTTTTGTTCGAAAGTGAGATGTTGCCCTCACGCGAAATTGTGTATTTCAATTTATATTTACATATGTACATATAAGATATATTATAGTTGTTATGTTTTGTAAATTTTGCAATTTATGTTTAATTATTCTGAATGAAAATACAGAATAATTTATTCTATTCAAGAAAAATTGTTTAGGATACATCATTTATAATACAAACACCGATATGCTTTGCAAATAAATACATACATTGATATATGATTATATGAATGAATTATATTCGAAATTTTGTTATTATTATATATTGTATGAATGAGAGATAATAAAGCTTCCGCTTTTTAAAATCTTGCGACAAAGATGCTGGATCCGGTTCTATCCGAGAACGTCAGTTTATGAAGCCAATCAAACTTTAAAGTGATACAATAAAATATATTAAAGGATCGTAATAATACAAACTATAGAAATCAAAACTTTAAACGGATTAACTGGATCTTAATAATATATACTTGTACGATTATGTGAATTTATATACTACGTATGTAATCCTTAGAAACGCGCGCCGAAATGATTTTTCGGTCTTGAAACGCTAACTCTACTAAACTACCGCAGTAATATCACGAGTTAAATTGATTGTTAAATTGCTAGTCAATTTAACACGTGATATTACTGCGGTAGTTTAGTAGAGTATATAAATTTACATAAGAATCATACAAGCATTAAGCTAGCTAGACCATTTAAAGCTTTGATTTTTAAAGTGATATCTTGTATAACATCAATTAAATGTTAGGCACTGCCAATGCCAGATCAACTGACTATCTGAAAAAGAAAGTTAGTCTGAGCTAATAAGAGTCAGCGTGAGTGGAGGTGCGCAATAAAATTTTAACAAATAAATTTGTTACTCCATTTGATATGTTGATGTCTTCTTTATTTAAAATCTTGATAAATCATTGAACGTTTCAATTCTCTTTGGAATCTTCATCGGTAATATTCGTAATCCATATTAGATTTCGAACGATCAAAGTAGAGTCACAGGTTGCTAAAACTATAGTGTAATCACGATCGCCAAATCCCATCATGAAACTTTGAATAATATTAATATTCACAATTAATAACTTTTTAATCTACATATTATGTAGATTTACTTAGTAGTAGAATTCCGTTTAAGCCATCCGAAGTGACGAATAGGTCTAATAAACGTTTAAATTGACAAAGATCGGATCGACGGAAAACAATAAATTATAATATTACAGTTTTGGCAATCTGTGAGTGACTCTACCTTGACCGTTCGCGAAATCTAATATGGATTACGAATATTACTGATAATTTATACTGTTCCAAAGAGAATCGAAACATTTAATAATTTATTAAGATTTTAAATAAAGAAGACAACATATCAAATGAAATAACAAATTTATTTATTAAAATTTTATTGTGCACCTCCGCTTACACTAACTCTCATTAATTCAGATTAATTTTGTTTTTGTTATTTTAAAGAGAGAATCCTTGTTTAATATATTTATTTTGAAAAAGGAAGATCTCACACACACACACACACACACACACACACACACACACACACAGAGAGAGACACACACACACATACAAAATTCCTAACTCCCCAAAGCTCAATTCTCCAATTTCTGCATAACAAGATTTGCAATGACGAGGGAGAGCGAAAAATCCATAAAATATTGTGTGCTAAACTTTCATCTAAAAATCTTTCCGACAAACGTAAAAAATGTTGAGTTAAGAACAAGTTGAATTATAATATTCTTTTTTGGGTATATTGCAATTTGGAAATATTGAATTTTAAAAGTTCACTGTCATACATAGATTTAAAATACGATTGATTTTTTTCCATTGCTCTTCGCATCAAACTTGGAAAAACTACTTCATTTAATCATTAAATATTTTATTAGAGGTTTTATTAGAGGATGATATTCGATAAAATTTTTTCGAGTACATGCAAACATCCACATTTCGTCTCGTATATAGAGAAGATGTATCACAAAATGTTATCTATTTTGAACACGTATCTGAATACTACGGATGTAGTATTCAGATACATGTTCAAAATAGATAACATTTTATCGAAACGGAAATTAAATTTGTCTGCATTATGATAGGAAGCCGATATTAATGCACTGATAATAATGTAATGTGTAAAATGATAAAAATGTTTCTTTATTTCAGCGTACATTGAAGAATATTTTTGAGCAATTTGAATTAGATCAATTATGTAATTTAATTTGAATTAGATAATTTATGTAATTTTGCAATAAATTCCAAAATTTATTCCAAGTTACAAATTAAGTCTTTATTTATGAATCTCTTTATTTATATCTTTATTTATATAATTAATATCTTTATTTATATTATTTATATATATAAATATCGCTCGCCTATTGGACTATATGAATCGTTTACCCATGATTTTAAATGCTTTGGAATTAATATTAGGATAATATTCTTTTCCGTCCTTGTCCACTACATCAGCGAAGTTTTTTGTGAAGAATTCTTCGAATCCCGCACCCGCTGCTGACTTCTGTGAAATTATCGATGTGAAAGCAGTGGCTGTTGCTGGTACTCCATACGTAAATCCGATAAAATCTCTAGATTGAGATTTTTTTGTAAGATATAAAATATTGATAAATTTGATTAATGATAATCTGATTAATGATAATATGGTTGGTATTAAATTAATGAAATCAAGTATAAAATTATTACAAATAGTGTAGATGCAAGATCTTGAATGCAAGATTTATTGAAAATAAGAGAAAATAAGAGAAAAAATTGAAATGCTACTTTATTCTAAAAAGATTTATGCAATTTTTTTTCAATTTTTTTGAACCATATGAACTGTGGCATGTATGTGAAATGGCCGAGAATCAATAACTTAATATATTCTTCATATGCGAATTAATATCCTAGTAAATTATACCTGACTTTTAGTAATTCCTTGCTTAATCCGTATCCTCGATAATTGGGGTCGACACTAAGTCCAACAGCATTTATATACTTGTCAATATCGTAACGTTCGTATATCATACTTGTTATAGATAGAAGATTATACGTAATTTTGATTTTTTCTGATTTAAACTGAAACAATTATCACTTTTATTATATTATCAATTATATTATATATTGCCATAATATAACACTTAATATATAGATAAGAAAAAATTCCTTAAAACAATGATTGCGTTCAGCAGAATGTTTATTTTGCAATTGTTGGAAATTTTCTTCGCGTTGATTGGATTATATTTTTAAATCTAGAAGAATGATCCTATTTCATCAGAGAATCATAAAACGATTGCGATAAAACTGTTGTGTTCTGCTGAACGCAGCCAATGTTACGACAAAAGGCGAAAAGAAATAAAAACAAAAATACGAATAAGAAATTAAAACATTTAACGATCATTATAATGAATAAATATTTATAGGCTGATATATCATATTCCATATAACAATATTGTTATGATAAAACTTAGAATTATAATATCATACAATTATATTTAATTATATTATACAGGATATTTTTGATAATTGCGAATTTTTAAAGGACACATCTCGTTAAATTCAACAACTGTTACGTATCAATTTTATTAAGTAATCTGTGTTCGACATTGCATTTTTAAAATGTTAGGTGTCAATTTTTAATCTTAAACGCTATTTGATTTTTGTAAAGTAATTAGAATAGAATTTAAAAAATTATATATTTCTTGATTTTATTTTATTTATTTTATTACTACAAATATTTAAAATAATAGTTTGCTTATTATACAAGCATTGCATTACATCTATGGCGCATTCATTAATGCACTTAAAAAAATCCTATTAGAATTATTGCGAATCACATATCCCATGATGAACTCATTTTGGATGTCAACAAGAGTGCATATCTGCATATATAATAAATTATTGACATATTCCCGTAGAAAAAATCAAGGCATGTATTGACAGAGTCTAGGAGATATAGATTACTTAACAAAAATTGTTCCATTGACAATTTAATCCAGTATTCTTGTATTTATCATAAATCTGGAAACACTCTGTATGCACTTATAAGTACTTATAATAGAACTCGCACAATAGAATATGTGAATTCGAATACAGTAACCAAGAGTAACCAAATTTACAAATTTAATTACTAACAAAGTTTAATGTAGCTAACCTGATCGGACAAATTCTTTTTTTGATTTTTAACCTCGATACCCAAAACATTCATACCGGCGATTATGGGTTTGCCACCATTGGGATTATCGATGAATGCAGCTACGGATATGTCTTCTGCGAGTAACAGACGCCATAGCGTCGTTATATCTTGTATAAATAGAGGATCATTTTTTACATCTACAAATAGTATAGAATAAGAAGTGACGAAAAACAGGTATAATGAGTAATTGTATAAAAAATAATAATTTTTTCCGTTAGGAATTATTCTAAAAATAAAAATAATCTGAGAGAGAGGGGAAGAGAGAGAGAGAGAGAGAGAGAGAGAGAGAGAGAGAGAGAGAGAGAGAGAGTTTGACTTATTCTAATTACTGTTAAAAATGTTCTTAAATTTCATTAAATTTTAAGTTACACAATTTGAACTTAATTTCATGACATTATATAAAATTTAATGTATTTTCATAAATTTAATTTACGTTCATTACATTTAAGTAATTACTGTAACTTAATTTTTTCAGTTAAATCATTCATTACTTTTAATTCCGTTCATAATCACGAGCTTCATTTACATGTAAAGGAAGCTCATGGTTACATTTCTAACAGTGTAGCTTTTTTTATTTTACAATTAAATTTACAAATAATAAATGAGAACATTATTAAGATCATTAGGTCTTCGATCGATAGAACTTACTCAAACATTGACAAGTTGGTTCATCGACTAAAAAGTATGTGCACATGTGTTGAATCGCGTCCTCATACCGATCCTCGGGAATCTCCTGAATTGTGAATTTCATTAGCTTCCCATCCTTATTTTTCTTTTCTATCACTTGCCAAATCTTAGGTGGCTGACACAACGATTTAACGCGCAGCATTTTATTTGATTCCTTTTATAAATCTTCTCTGACGATTTCAATTCTTATTTTCTACGTGTACAATTCTAAGCACTGCACTTTGTTCAAACGTCGCAGAAACGTATGATCTTTAACATTAATAATGCGCCGACCTCTGTCCGTTGCTCACCAGATGGCCACTGTCGATTGAATGATTTGGCTTTATTATCAACTATAACATTGCCCTACTGAAAAAAATTATGTCACAACGTTATGTAATGAAATCATATAATTAAAACATATAAATCATGTAACAAATTGTTGCAAGTCAGTACGTAATTTTTTTAAACAATGTAATTTGAAAAACACATGATTGAAAATAATTTCATTCATCATGTGATTATAGTTATCGAATTCTGAAGAATTGAACGAGAGAAGAAAAAAGAACATATTATCATGACTTTTCAAATTACTTACTTTTAAAAAATCACATACTGATTTGGAACAATCCGTTACGTGATTTATATGATTTCATCATGTAACTGACTGTGATGTGATTTTGTTCAGTAGGGTATGCTCACTATACTACTTCACGAATAACAGATGCAGTACTGTCGTAATAATATATGTTATCGTATATACATATATATGTTATCGTTTCTTTGCTATCTATTTTGTTTGCATGTATGACTTTTTTCTATATTCGTTTTATCTACAAAATTGTAGATTTTCACAAGATAATCTTTATGTGATAGCTACAATGTTATAAAATTGTTGTTGTTTGAAAAGAAGAGAAAAATAAACTAATTTAAATATAAATAAATAATAGCTAAAAACTAAACTAACAATAAAAAGAAACGGAAAGTATAATTTTATTTAAAAAAAAAAAAAACTAATTGTAAATATATTATAAGTGCAGTAACTCAGTTTACTTTTATAACAATGTGTAGCCGTATTATAATAATCTATTTACGTTTCTCAAATAGTTAACTCGCATCAATCGCATGACAAATACTTTATACGTACAGTGCTAGAGCACTTATCCATTCATTATCACAATGTGCATGTGCAATTCTCGTTCCACTTCTCTTATGTAGATTAACATTATTTATATGTTGGGCACATATGTCCACGTATTACTACTCACTTTATAATAATATTGTAAGTTTAATGCTTAGCCACGCTGTTAAAATGCATACAATTCCAATAACCGAATTCAATAATCGAAGCAAGCTGTTTTCTAAATAATTCGTGTGTATTATATTTATTCATTGCGATTATTCTACTTTCAAATAATGATGTTGAAAATTATTTATTTTAAAGAACATGTACTCTTTCTATATTTTAAACATTCAAACTCATATTGATGTGATCAAAAGACTTATAAGATTTTTTCCAGATTACAATATTAAGTGCATCATATAATTTTTGTATAATTTTTGTATTAATGTCATTTGGATCCTATCGGATCATATTAAGATAATTTTTTACCCACAATTTATATGTCTTTGTATTTAATTAGAAAAATATTCATTTTCGTCCATTAAGTTTTTCATCAAAAATTTTTCAAATCCAGCATCTCTTTTTGCTGTTGATTTCTACTGTGTGGCATGCAGTGCCATTTAGGACTCCGTATATAAATCCGGATAAGATTTTTAGATTTAATTAAGTTGAGATATTAATAAGAACATAAAACTGATTACGTGATAAAATACATAATAGAAATCGAGTATGAAAAACCAGAAATAATTTACGTATACCAATAATGAAATAATGATTATTTTATTGATATAACAAATATAAATTTAAAAATATATAACTTTTACACTACTTTGGCAATATAAAACAAAGATATTAAGCAAAAAGAGACAGATATTATATTGATATTACTCGGAAATTAAAAAAAAGAATAAAAACTATTTCCTTAAAAAAAATATTTTTTTTAATTTCAATCTGATATGAAATTATAAAACATCGAAAATTTATTGCATTTTTTATGTGTAAAATAATAAAATAAATTTGTAAAATAAATTTATGTGTTTCAACATAAGTTACATAATCAATAAATATTTTCAGTATATTTTAGAGATGTGTGCGATCTCCGGATCAATCTGCTAAACATCGATTTTTTACAAAAAAAAAAAGTATATCGCTGTAAAATAGTTTTCTTTATTAAAATTCTTTATTAAAATTCCCACAAACACTGATTTAAAGAGAATATTGATGAGGTCAGTCAAGACAAACGAAGTGAGTTTATAAAGACGATAAATAAATATTGTCAATAGAATATAACGAAAGTAAGCTTGCTATGAAGAAAATTGCAATTAAAATGCGAATGTTTTAATTATAGAGAAATTCATGTCAATAACATAAATTAGATAATGATTTGATGTAAATTAATTTATATTAGATAAGAATACTGATGATGATATAATGTAGATAAAATAATGTAAAATCGAAACGTCTGCTATTTATAAATTATAATTGTTTTCATTTCGCAAATACATCCAACATAAAGTTTATATGCTCATTGATAATTGACAAAAATGATAGCTTTGATGCTTGAATATAAACCTTAATTAAGTCAGATAAAAATACAATAATTTCATCATTAAAAATATAATTATATTAAATAAATTGTCTATATTATCAAATTACGCAGATTAACGCACGTTAATTAATTAAAATTGTAGATAAATTGAATTTTTGATTGAAAAGTTTGGTGATCATTTTTTTAAATACATTATTTAACAGGAATTTTAATGTTGTTACAATTGATAGTATAATAAATCATTACATAATACTAAATTTTCAAACTCTAGTTATAATTAATATATTAATTATTTTTTTATAGAGTTAGCTATTCAAATTAATTTTAGGTTTAACATATCTTTATTAACGACGATTATTATAAATTTATTATAAACTTTCATTAAAAACTTTCCAAGCATAATAGATAAAAGTGTTTATTCAGAATGATCTGATCTGTGGAAGAATAAAACTTACCAACTATTGTGCAACGATTCCGAGCTTTGAATATCGCTGGAACTTCAGATGTGGAGAAAAAAATAAATTCATGCTTTCATTATAAAGAGAATAAATCTTTATTCTACTTGTAATTCATTATATAATTCCACCTTATCACTTTCGTGACGTTATACTACTTCTGCATCATTGACGGTCAAAATAATGCATAAATGTAAATTCTGACTAACTCCTCGCTTGCATTCATATTTTCGGTTTTATCCTTTGTTTTTCTCGGTTATTCTTACTGAATTGGCAATTTGTATAAACGACCAAAGTCAGAAGTACGGATAGCGATTTTATTTTACTAAATGATTAAATTTTCTATAATCTTTCCATGTTAAAATTTATATGAAATTATTGAAAAGGAAAGGGAAACCCTTTCCCGGAGGCCGGTATACAGAACGCACTTACAATGATGTTAGCACGCTAACATACTGTATTTTACGTTACACGTTAGAATTTCAAAGATAAAAGTGCATTCTGAATACGGGCCGAGGAATGAGTACTAAGTGGGAGCAGAAATATTTATTTAGGATCGATTGTTCCATCTTTGGATACACTATAAGGTAATTTACTTATTGAATAAACAAAAGAGTAAAAGAGTTAGAACATAAGAGAGAATAAACAAAAAAATAAAAGAGTTAGAACATAATGCCCATTTCCAGCAATGTAGATTAACTTTAATCTCGGTTCAACTTATTCTTCTTTTTCTAATCTTTAGAATTAGAAAAAGACGAAGAGGTGGAAACGAATATAAGAAAGTATGATAGTGAGCTGAAGTTTATCGAAAGGTGAAACAATCCAGTCATATAAAAAGATATATATCCGATAGCCCCGCTGTGTATCGTTTTACTTATTTATTCTAATTTTTTTTTTTATGAATATTATTTCTGAGACTATTCTTTTATAAAAAGGTGTAAGACAAACGAAAAGAAAACTCAAAAGTAACATAATAAATGAACATAGAGTAGATTTTGAACATAGAGTCGAGAAAAAACTCTCTGATTCGCTTTCTCAATTTTCACTACATCAATTAAATTACTAACACAAATTGGATTAAAATGATTTTATTCAGAATCATCTTTTTATGTATAAATCGCCTCCAAAATTAATATTTCATTGTCATGTAATTCCTCTTCTAAAATTAAAATAATATTCCAGTCAAATTCATGCGAATAATTAAGTCTAGGAACAGTAATTACTGAGAACTGATTGATATTTCTATTGATACGATTTTTATGTTCGGAAATTCTAGTTTTCATTAAAAACTTTCCAAGCATAATAGATAAAAGTGTAATAATAATATTCCAGTCAAATTCATGCGAATAATTAAGTCTAGGAACAGTAATTACTGAGAATTGATTGATATTTCTATTGATACGAGTTTTATGTTCGGAAATTCTAGTTTTCATTAAAAACTTTCCAAGCATAATAGATAAAAGTGTTTATTCAGAATGATCTGATCTGTGGAAGAATAAAACTTACCAACTATTGTACAACGATTCCGAGCTTCGGATATCGCTAGAACTTTGGATGTGGAGAAAAAAATAAATTCATGCTTTCATTATAAAGAGAATAAATCTTTATTCTACTTGTAATTCATTACATAATTCCACCTTATCACTTTCGTAACGTTATACTACTTCTGGATCATTGACGGTCAAAATAATGCATAAATGTAAATTCTGACTAACTCCTCGCTTGCATTCATATTTTCGGTTCTATCCTTTGTTTTTCTCGGTTATTCTTACTGAATTAGCAACTTGTCGCATTCTGTTAATCAGTCGAAGTTGCAACGATTGAGTTCTCTGTATCAATCGCTCACAACTGGATTATGCCCGATATATCAATTTAATTTCTGATTGTTTTTCTGCTTTAGTGAAATGAAAAAAATACTTTTAGATTTTATAGTTATTGCACATAGATGAAAAAATGAAAATTTTTTTCTTTAATCATGTGATATATAAGACATGGCTCTTTTTATTCTATAATGTAAGTGTTAACATGGGCGTTGGTTGTGTAAAAAAAAATCCTAGTTAGAATTGATATAGTATTTTCACAACACATTGTTATACAGTATACATATAATGTAGACATCATACATGTATATACATATGTATATATACATATGTATACAAGAAATATTAATAATAGATACACGTACTATATGTATGACAATAACCTACGTATTTGTAAAGTCCGTATTGAAGTCATAATCATCGGAAGTAAATTTAAATTCTTCAAGCTGTCCCGCTAGCTTGATAGTAGCTTTTTCTGGAAATTGAGAAGTGACATTAAAAAAAATTAAATATTATAATTTTAATCTTTTTTCTTATTTTTTTATCATACCTCTTTTCAATCGTTCTTTTTTTTCCTTCTTGAATTGAAGTTTCTTGAGTTTATTTAGTTTTTGATTGCCTTCAATTTCGAAAAGTGGATCTGCTTTCTTCTTTCTTTCAGTAAACTTATCCTTCTTCGTATCTTGCAATTTCTTTTTCAATTTTTTCTGCACTTTGTATTCCTGCAATAACATATCGGCCAAATATTACAAAATAATTTTTATAGCGCA